TGTCCACAATCTCAGATATTCCATCTTGAGGAAGGGATATGATAATCTCATCGACATATTTTTTTATAAAAAAAGATTGAAGGGAAGTACCTGTAAGACCAAATCTAGCAGGTCATCCATGACATAAGCTGCTAAAATGGGGGTTGATCTTAGCTCCCATTGGAGTACCAAAAGTTTGTTTGTAAATTTTGCCATCATATGTGAAATATGTATTATTAAAGAGGAAAGTTATAAGTTGGAGGAAATCGTTTTTATGAATGTCACAAAGTTGGCTAATACGTCCCCACTTTCTATCAATAGATCTGAGACAAGTGTCCAAATAGACATTGTTAAAAAGAGATACAACATCTAAGCTAGCAATTACATAATTGTTAGGTAGTTTTGTCTTATTGAATGTAGAGAAAACATGAAAAAAAATTTTGGGAAAGAAAGTTTTTGGCTTTCTACTACTCCATCTTGATAAAAAAAATTAGGATGAGGGAGTCTTCAAAAAAAAATATAACCCCTTCAATTTCAATGAAAAGAATCTTTAATAAAATATTGGTTATCAAATTCATAAGCTTTAGTTAAAATGTCTGTTAGAAAAGAAGCAAGTTTTTCAGTGGGAGAACCAGTTGAAGCAATAATGGGTCTAACAGACAGGGTTGGTTTGTGAATTGTGAAATCTATGCCTTTTTATTAGATATTGACAAAAATCTACATGTTTTCCAAACCAATAATAATTCTGGTTTTTCATCAATCTAATTCATAACATTTTAAATATTTCATTTTCAGCAAACTTCCAACCTCCCTATGGCAGGGCTTTATCTTCATTCAACAACACCTCTTCAATTGTTTTCCTCAAGTCTAATGAAGGTGTTGTCAATTAATTAACATATTTGACTTTTGGGTTTTCTCATTGAGTTACTTGTAGAACAGCAGATGTCTCTGATCACACTTGTACTATAATAGTTCTCTTTTGTTCCATAGTTCTATCATCAACAAACAAACACACTTTTCAAACTGAATTACATGACAGATGTCATTGTCAATTGTTTTTGTCTCTCTCTTTGTTCTTCAACCACATGGCTTTTACCGGTAAACCATAATTTTAAAACAAATAACCTCTTTTAATGAAGTGACTTGTTTATTGTATTGACATGTTTCAATTGTTTAAATGTAACATTCTTTTCCACACAGTGCACGATATTTCACTTCACTACTTTCACTGACTTTCTGCTTGAAGACCCACTTGCATGAAACAACTGTCGACGAATCAGGAACACTGTCCGTCAACTCCCAGGCATCATTATTTTCAAAACACTGAACTTCTTCAGACATGGCTTTCCTCCATAACTTAGCTGCTCTCCTTGACATAGCTTCATTTACGGTAACTGGATCGTCATTATAGTTGAAGTCTTGCAAACAAACATAAGTAACATAGTCTTCAAACTGCTTAGGTTTGATTGTTCTTTGTGATTTTCTCACCTCTGTGTTTTCTTGTGCTTGTGGCAATTCAATCAAAAATTTTTCATCACTGGTAGAATTTTCTGATTCGTAATCTGTGGGAATATCATAAAATGAATCATAAGGCTGATCAACTTCAGCTTCTGCCTCAGTCCCCACTGAATCTCTTGATTCTTGAAGTTCATATGGCATCGATTTAGATTTATGTATGATTTCTTTAATGATTACATCCCTGCTCACTATTATTTCATTTTTCTCTGGATTATATAATCTGTAGCCCTTAATGTTATCACTAAATCCAACCAAGATCATCTTTGATTTCTTGTCCCATTTTTGCCTTTTTTTTGAGATTAGTGTCATGACTTCACTTCCAAATATGCGTATACAACTTACATCAGGTTTTTTCTCATGCCACATTTCAATTGGAAATTTTTCAAGTCCAGAGACTGATGAACGCTTTCTGAGGAAGACCGCAATAGCCACAGCTTCTGCCCAAAAATCTTCTCCATGCATCATACAACAAACAACCAGCCTTTTCAACAATGGTACGATCCATGGGTTCACACAAACTATTCTGTTAAGGAGTATAAGCATTTGTTTGTTGATGCAAGATTTCATACTTTTTATAGAAATTTTGGAACTGATTACTATCAAACTCAGTACCTTGATCACTACGAAACATTTTGATTTTGGTTCTTCTTAGATTCTCTGCATAGTTCTTGAACTCCTAAAATTTTCCATATGCGTCGTCTTTGCTCCTGGGAAAGTACGCAAAAGTCATTCTAGAAAGTCATCTTCTTGTATCATGAAGTATCTCGAGCCATGGAGATTTATGTGGACCATAGGTCCACATAAATCTCCATGTATTACTTCCAATAAAGAATTTGCTCGATTGCCTTTGTAACTGAATGATTGTCTGGCTTGCTTGCCTTCACAACAGACTTTACACAAATCGAAATCCCTTTTAACCAAAGTACCGTTATACTGGAAACCATCAACAGGTCCATTCTTCATTGGATTCAAGTCTTTGTAATTCAAATGACCGAAACGTCTGTGCCAGATTTCACCAGAAATTGCTATGCCTGCCAAGTTCAACAGTGGTTTCTTGAAGTTTGATTTATAAACATTGTAGGTAACGTAATGTTCTACATACTCCATAGTTGTTGGTGTCCTATGTGTGTAACTCTGTTAGGTGGTGTTCTAAGCTTTAACAGAGGTCAAGGGGGTGAGGTCGATGTGATTTCTGGTGAACAAATTATTGAGTACTGAGAAGCAAATAAACCCAAATAAAGGATCTCGGAGTTTAATTTGCATGATACCACAAACATTATCCTCTAAAGTTGCTGTAGCAATCAGCTGTTGTCTATTGTTATAAATGTCACAGCCAGTTCCATGAAAAATAACTTTGTTATTGTTTTTGATCAGCTGACTCACCGATAACAAATTTGTCATCAATTCAGGTATATAAAGAGCATTCCGAACTGTGACGGAATGTTCTTCGGTTCCAACTATTGTCTGAATGTCAATATCACCAGAACATTCTATAGCTAATTTGTTATCATTCACCATGGTAACTTCCTTAACTTTTAAATTCTTTTGGGGATATTTAAGCCGAAATTTTCTCGATGTAAAATGCATACTACATCCAGAATCTACATACCAGTCTGAACAGTCAAATTTGGCAGTCAGAAACACTGCATTGAAAGCATTTGATGAACTCTCCTTATTTCAGGGCATCTGTTCATGAAATGTCCAATTTTCTTACACTTGTAGCAAGTGACTGCACTTTTATCCTTGTTTACTTTTCTAGTGCTGTCATCTCTACCACCTTTGTAATAAACTTTGTTTGCAAATGCGCCACACGATTGACTCTCTGCGCCACCTAGGTGTATATCTAATAACTTAGATTTAATGGAATCTGCAGTCACGTCAATTCCAGAGTGTAATGACCATGGGCTCAAATTTTTCAGTTAAACCAGCAAGCTTCAGTCTTCCAATTGAGTCTTGACTCAGTTTGAAACCACTTTCCTCTAATTTCTGAGAAATGCCTATTATTTGGTTCACGTAGAATTCCATCGATTCACAATTGTCAAGTCTCAATGAAATCAGTTTACGAAGTGAACCGATTTTACACGCGAAACCAGAATCTTCATAAAGCTTTTTCAACTTGTCCCAAACATCTTTGGCCAAAATTCTATCTTTCACATAGATAAACAATGACGGGTCTAGGGTCAAAATCAGCTTCGCCTCAGCTCTACTCACTGAATCGACATTTGTCTCAGAACCATCGATACACTTCGATAATCCTTTCAGGACGAACACGTTTTCTACTGCGAAACCCCAATCTGGATAATTTTCTCTTCCCATCAGCTTTGGAATACTACTAAGATAGTTTACTGTCATCGTTGCACTCGAATAACTTGTATTTTAGCAATTTACCACTATTCAGCTTACAAACCGTTGTGGTCTTGGCCCATAACCTGTTAGGAAGATTGGCAGGAATGGAGGCGAGCAGTGAAATAATAATACACAAGTTACATTCAAGCATCAGCAAACGACCAACTCTTCATTAAATTAAAAGACAGAACACAATATGTCAAAGAAATAAACTCTGCAGCCAGTGCTGTCATCCGTCATAGTACAAAACGTTATTCTGAGATATATTCAACGAAAAGTTATATAAGAAAGTCTTACATAGTAATAAACTATATTTTCAGAAAGAAATCCTTCAATCGTCTTTTGAATATATTTATCGAACCACTATCTTTATAAGTACCATTCTGATGATTCACATATTGATTCCAGTTAGAGCCATCGGTAGGCTGCTGTTTCGGCCTATTGGGCATCGTCAGTACCGGGCAGGCGGTCCTTGATTGAAGACAAAATGTGAATAACCAAGAGAGATACTTGATAAAAATAACTGCGTAAACGCATGCAAGACATAAGTGGAAACACCTATTGGTGTGACATCCAAGTCAACTTGACAAGTTTTGATGTCAGTCTTGGAGGTTTGGCCAATCAACCCACAACTGCGGTAGCAGAAATTTGGAAAACTATCCTGGAATGCCATCGGAAGTCGAATCCACATGTTTCTAGAAATGATATGAAATCGAGAAAGCGTTAATGCAGTCAAGCTGCTAAGAAATTATTCCATGAAAATCAAAAGATAAATAGATAAGTACTTTTCTGATCATTCCCATATTGATTCCAATCTAAGAGCCACCGGTAGACAGCTGTTTCAGCCTATTGGGCATCGTCAGTACTGGGCAGGCAGTCCTCGATTGAAGACAAAATATGAATAACCAAGACGAGTACTTGATAATAACCACCAACACTGACATAAAAACTTGGCAAGTTGACTTGGGTGTCACACCAATAGGGGGTTCCACTTATGCCTCGCATGCGACTTACAGACTAACATACTCACATTTCAACATTTTTGCCCATTACGAAAATGCATAGTATCACTAGAACTATAGAGTGAATAATTGTTTCATTTCGACTAACTTTTGGTGAATGAGAGTGAGTGAATTATATTTGTTTTACAATTTTAGGATTTGCAACTTCCAATTTCCTTGCGAGAGGTAAAATCATATTGCCAGAACAAAAAGTTTTCACTAGTAAACCTCCTCTATGTTACACTCCGCAACATATGTTCATCGGCGCTACCTTGATCATTAATGGTTTCGAATTCATTCTTCTGGATGCTGATGAATATGCCTTGAGATATATGGAGCTGAATGCAGGCCAGGTATTTATATTTTGATGATTTTTTGTAGGTATGCATTGGTAGGAAGAATCATCATCATATAGAAAGTAGAGAACTTTCAAGAAAAAAATGATAACCCTTTACAATGATGTTCATCATGCACAGAAATGTCTTTCAGAAATGAACAGAAAATACCACTTCAAAATTTAATATTATTACACGGAAATTACTCTAAAGAACTGTTGATAATGTTCGACAATGGAATACAAATGGCACTGAAACACTTCTTCAGAAGTTCTACACAAATTTCATCGGGACTACTTTTATTTTTCAAAGAACCAACAATTCTTTCTAGATTTACCATATTGATAAGACTAAATTAGACAATTTATTATCATTTATTCTTCCAGTTATAGGAAAACTATGAGAACATTTGTTGTCAATTTCATCAGTTATATGTATTATACTTTTGATATAAAATGTGTTCAGGCCATTTGGTATCAAAGTCCTATCAAAAATTATTTCACCATTGCCCAAATCAATAGTTGTAAGATTATATTCTTTGTTATTATTCGGTATTAATGTCTTCAGTGTATTCCACATTTCAGTGGAATTTTTTTTATTTGTCTCTATATCTAAATAGTTTTTCTTTTCCTGTCTAATTTTTTCAGTGCTATATTTCTTTTTTGTTTATACTTCTTCCAGTTATCCGTTGTTTTATTGATTGTTTACTGTTTGTAAAGGCTACAAAAGAGATCTACAGTTACAAGGTGAGGCAAGCTACAAGAAAAGGATATGAGATCCTTTTCTTTTGTAGCTTGCCTCACCTTCTCATTCCAGAATTCCTTATAATGTCGAAAGATCTTGACCGCTTATTTTTTGGAGAGACTTCATTCAATATCGACAATACATTGTCCACAAATTGTTCATATGTATGATTTAAATCTCTTTCTGTGTAGTTCCACTTTATGAGTTTTAGTTTTGACTCAATCAGTTCATAATCAATGTTTTTTTTTCCTAGTTTCAATTTTGACTGTTTTTGTTTGGTAGAATGTTCGGTAACGCTATTCTCATATTTCGGTGTGTACTTATTTTTGGTTAATCAAATACAATAACATCTATGTCAGATTGAGAAATAATTTCAATGTAATTCATATCAATGATATGGTGTACTCATGTCCCAGTGCTGAAAAATTGTCATGTATGCTGATGACACTAATATTCTCATATCAGATAATGAATTGAAAAATGCTGTCACCAGAGCAAGCATTTGTGACAATGATTTCCATAAATGGTACTCGTTTAATGGGCTACAAAAAACATTCTTTATGGTATTCACAACAAAAAATATAAATCGTGATATGAATTTTTTAATACGAGTGGATCATAAATCAATTAAACAGGTAAATTTCATTGAATTTCTGGGTATCAAATAAATTGAGTACAATTTGCTTTATTATCAGACAACTCAAGTGAACAATATCAATAGACATATAAATATTACTGGAGTTTTTTATCAACACCAAATTGTTAATTTCAACACCTCGACACGTGTTTCGATCACCAAGTGATCATCTTCAAGAGAAAGATAAAACTGGAATCTTCGCGAAACTAAAGCTATTAATACTATACAGATATATCAAATAGATAAACCATACAGAAATACCACTCATACAGGTATACCAACCTAAATCAATTTTACAATTAGCCTTATCTATTATTTCACAATATGTTCTTATGTAATGTTTAAATGTTATAGCTATATACAGGGCTATTCAAATTCGTTTCTGTACACGGGGATCTCGTAAACGATAAGAGATAGAGTGTCAGTTAAATTGTGGCAAAGTTGCGTATTTCAGAGACCTATTCAATGATTTAAAGAAATCGAATATAGTACTTTTGGTTCTGGAGATATACAGGAAAAACCAAAAAATCCCAAATTATTTTTTTGCCTATATCTTCTTTATTCGCAGACATATTGAAAATCTGCCAACATTTTGTTATTGGCACTTCATCTGGGCTATCAGAATATGTCGATGAATCTTTTATATAGGGTGTAATCTAACTTGGGCCACCCCCATCTTTGCAGTTTTGAATACAGACCTGTATTTTTTCTTGTAGTTTTTGTTTCGTTGACGTTCATTTCACACTGCGAAATTAAATTAAATTCTATATTTGGGGATGTTTCGGTAATATTTGATCATAAATGTGTGAATTATTCCCTTATTAATTACGGCCCTGGAAATTGGTTAACTGAGTTAAATAAAAACACAATAGCAACTTTCACGTCTCCCTATGTACCGTAGAGTTTTTCGAGATTTTTTTTTCATTTCTCCATGCGTTTTCTACAATGAACTTCGAATAAGAAAACCTTTTATGATTATCTGAAACATATCTTCACCAAAAATATATTGAATGTGTTTTAATAGGCAGAAAAAGCAATGGTAGCAATAATAACATCCGAAACGAACACTATAATTTTAATGAAAATAGAAATGAAGTAATTAAATACAGGTCCGTATTTAAAAATTCAAAGATGGGGGTAGCCCAAGTCAGATGACACCCTATATAAAAGATTCACGGACATATTCTGATAGCCCACATGAGGTGCCAACAGCAAAATGTTGACAGATTTTCAATATGTCTGCGAATAAAGAAGATATAGACAAAAAAATAATCTGTGATTTTTTGGTTTTTCCTGTATATCTCCAGAAACAAAAGAGCTATATTCGATTTTTCCACATAATTGAATAGGCCTCTGAAATACGCAACTTTGCCACAATTAAACCGACCTCTATCTCTTATATCGTTTACGAGATCCCCATGTACAGAAACGAATTTGAATAGCCCTGTATAAAACAATTCACAGCTAAGTATATACAACATTTATTTCACAATATTGCCTATCTGAATATATTTTACAATGTGTCTTTATGTAGTAATCAGTAAACCCATTGATATTATTTTAACAAGCTATATAGTATGCTATTTGGTATTGGTCCGTCATCGTTATAGGCAATATTGTGAAATTGATTTTTTATATAGCTGAAAATTGTTTTGTATATAGCTATAACATTTAAACATTACATAAGGACATATTGTAAAATAATAGATGAGGCTAGATGTAAAATTAATTGAGGGTGGTATACCTGTATGTGTGGTATTCCTGTATGGTTTACCTGTATGATATATCTGTATAGCATAAATAGCTTCAGTTTTGCGAAGATTCCAGTTTTATCTTCCTCTTGAAGATGATCACTTGGTGATCGAAACACGTGTCGAGGTGTTTAAAATAACGATTTGATGTTGGGAGAAAACTCCAGTAATATTCATTACTACACCAAAGGTTCCAAACAGTACATCATGAATCATTAGACATACTTAAATTAGCGTACTTAGGACTTGTACAATCTGCATTGAGCTACGGATTGATTTTTATGGGGAAGTTCAGTGCATATGAATGAAGTCTTCATCATCCAAAAGAAAATAATTAGATGTATGGCTGGTGTCGCTCGTGGAACCTCTTGTAGAAACATATTCAAACAACTCTCAATTTTAACAGTCCCTTCACTTTACATTCTCCTGATTATCATCAATGTCAAAAAAGAAGAAAATAACAATACGAGAAATAGTGAGAGCATTCACCAGCCATACTCGAGATTGAGCATTGGTCAGGATTCTCACATATATCAAGGAATCAGGTGTTATAACCGACTTATGAATATATTCCCGTACTTAAACTCAGCAAGTGCAAATGTGTTGAAGGATAATCAGACTCGTTATATGATAAATCAATCATTTTACTCCATTGAAGAGTTTTTAGACGCTATATTGTAGAGAATTTTAATCCACTCGTATGAGTATTTCTCATACAATGAAAAGATTCCAGATGATACATTGTAGAGAATTTTAATCTAATTGTATGTATATTTTTTTATATTTCAAATTGTATATTTCTGAATTTTCTTTATTGCCTTGTGACTGGTCCGATAAGTCTTTGCATGTATTCTCTTGTATGTATATGTAAATTCTTCAGTGATGAATAAATAGATTCTTCTTGTTCAAATAATTGATAGTAGTTTTAAGAGTTTATCCCACATTCTATATTATTACGAGAAGGTTGAAATTCAAAATGGTTTTGCCAAAAACTAATATTTCCTAAAAATATTTCCTTATTATTATCACAATTATGCTATGGAACTTTTTGTCAAAAAATATAATTTTGGAATCTATCTATGTACGAATTTCAAAAGTTATTCAAAAATATCTCTTGGGTGCATTCATAATACAGATTTTGATCCCAGATAAAAAATAATTTAACAAGTGAAATTGTTATTGTTAATATTATTGTCGATGTTGTGATATTCACAACAAATTTGGTTTACTTGGATTGCTCGTTTACATTTTGATCAACCAAGTCCAAGTACGATCACTAAGCCGCCTGGGTAGATACTTCACAGAGGAATGCTCCAACCTCTGCTTTCTCATGGCCACGAACTATGCAGAGGAGGGGATCTAAATTCCTTGATGACTTCATAGGTTTTACTCGAAATATTTCTGTGTTGTAGACACTCTTAACGCAAAAGTACACGACCTCCCAATTATTGGGAAATGTATAACTGGGGAATGGACAATTCTCCTGTTTTGACTCTTTCCGTCGAGTTGGTACATCTTCTCTGAAGTCTACTTCACTACTCCAGAAGAGTAGAGTAGTATCGAAACGACAAGTATACATATATGTGACAGCAACTTCGTTTTTTTTCGACAGTTCCGATGGTAATGGCCCTAACGAATGCGTTAGGGCCATTACCTCTTGAGTGGCGTTGTTCCATCCCAAGGTATGTATAAGAGCTGCACATTCCCTCTGTGATCCTCACATCGTCTTCTCTTGAGATAAATTGTTGCATCCCAAATCCCATACCGATAGCATGCGTAAACTCATTCACCACGAGGTATTAATTTAGAGATCGTTCATAGAAATTACACGAACGACCTCATACCTCCGTTATTCGGGAATACCATTACTGTATCCATGAGTATATAGCATCGATCAGCAGTTAACGGGTTATCCACAATACGTGGATACTCTTGAAATAAGCGGGAAGGATCCTTGCGAAATTCCGTGTTTTTCGCGATGCATCTCTGTCTGCATCAGACAGAGATGCAGATAAAATCAAGACAATGATGTGGTTACATTTTTTGACTCGAAGTGTGATGAGCACGTCTCAATTCAGCTATTAGCCGCATGGTAGGCGTGAAAGGCTTGTTAGCCGCCCAGTAGTCCATCACACAACAGACACGAGACTCGTGTAAACAATAATTTGATTTCAGCTTCCATCTGCTTCGAATTCTCGACTTGTTTCAAAAACCACCTTCATACCTAGTTCCTTGAAATTCTTTTCAAAGTTCTTCGTGTATTGGTGGTATGGAACAATTAACATTTATTCATTCCCAAGAAACTACTATGGATCATACAGGAAATACATACAGAAAATATTCAACATTTGTTTGAAGGTGATTGACACCACACACTCTGGCCATTGAAGTCTGGCCCTTCATAATATGGAACCATGGGAATACTCAAACACATCAACAGCGTGAGACCTTCCATCACTTTCACAATGGAGAAGGAAGTCCACAACGAATTGTCATTCTTGGACGTTTTGGTGAAGAGGACCGACACTAAGTGGAAAACATCTGTATACCGAAAACCCACTCACACAGGACATTATCTGAACTACGAATCCAACCACCATCAATCAACTAAAAGAGGAATCATCAAGACTCTATTAGAGTCTCGAGAAGGAACTAGACATCATCAAAAATGATCTTCAACGGAATGGCTACTCCAAAGCGATGGTAGAGAAGATTTTGGCTAAGAGACAGCAGGAGCCTAGCAAGGAAGATAATCCGTCACAACCAGTGCTTGCACTTCCCTACATCAGAGGATTATCAAAATCAAAATAATTTATTCGCACCCTCTACATAGCAGCCTTAGGATAGATGTACACGTCAAATACTGTTACATTGAACAAAATATAAGAAAATGTCACGAACACTAATCGTTCTAAAGAACAGACAAACATGTGTAACTCTCAGACAACAAGTGAATCAAAAATCATCATTCAAAAATTCACTGATAAAGTAATAGGCTTTCGCACACAGAAATGTTTTCAATTATTTTTAAATTTTTTTATGGTCCAGTTTTTTGAGATGTTGTTGAAGTTTATCAAATATCCTTATACCTGCGTAGTGTGGAGATCTTTCAAATGTCTTCAAATTATGCTTCGTAACTGAAAGTGCATCCGTGTTTCTTGTAGGATATGAATGGTAATCCGAGTTTTTTGTGAATTTATTAATATGTTGCTTTACATATATTGATAATTCATATAGATAAAACAGGGAAATGTTAGGATATTATACTTTGAAAGAGCGGCTTTACAGCTGTTTCTATTTTTTATATTGAAAATGAGATGGATAATTCGCTTTTGACATATGAACGCTCTTCCAAAATTTACACAATCCCCCCATAAAATAACATTATATGCCAAAAGGGAGTAAATCATTGCATAGCAGGTATCAATAAGAGCCATCTGATTCACCGTAGACTTCACTTTTAAAATTGCATAGAATCCTGAGCTTAATTTCTTGCAAACATGCTGCAGTTGGTCACTCCATGTTAAACACTGATCTAGATAGGAGAAGGATAAGCTGAATTGGTTCCAAGAACAACATCAAAACCTGCTTCAGATCCGGTAACACTATCCATAGCAGCCTCACGAAAACCAGGCCACCAAACGCGGACTGCGATTCCAAAAATTGCATTTACCGGATACCCTGTGAGTGCGGAAAATCCTATATTGGTAAAACTTAGAGGCCATTGAATGTTCGCATTGCCAAGCACAAGAAACACACACACCGAGTGGAAACCAGCAAATCAGGAATAGCAGACCATGTTTGGACCAATCAACACAACATCGAGTGGTCCCAAGCTGAGATCTTACACAGAGATGAACATTGGTTTAGGAGAAAATTCAAGGAAGCCGCATACATGTTGTCCCACAACGTATTCAGCCAATCTAGCGTAGAAAAACGCAACATACGGAAACCCATCATCGAACGAAAAATGGCCAACTCCCGCCAAACGGTCATCTCCCACTGAACCAGTGAAGCGGAAATAATGGAAAGCGGGGATAAGTGAAAGTGCTCGAACGACCTATAAATAGTCATCTCTCGGAGGAATCAGTCCAGTCATCACCCAAAGACGATTGTGGATACTAACAATCCAAACATCGTGAATCAACTTGGCTTGAAATCTCTTAACTTTTTAGTTTTTATCTTTATTTTCATTTTGTATTTCATTATCTTTATTTTTCGTTCAATTGTTTTATTTTTACTTTACTTTATTTCACTATTATTTCATTTCAGGTTTTTTTTGCTCAATATAATTGTTATTTACAGCTATTTATTTTTAATTCTTCATTTTCAGTTGTTTTAGGGATTTCAAATCATTTCATGTATCAGATAATGGAAGTCCGAACTAGTGAAATTCAGAAAATATTCATTCATTCAAAGGGATTTTTTTATTGTGTATAGTATCACAATGCTTGTTGCTTATTTTTATAGAATAATTTCGATCTGTATGTTCTACGAAAGAGTTTCCTCCGTTTGGAAATCCTGAAACTCAAAAGTTGGACTTTCAAATATTATATTCTCTAATTGATTACTTTTTTGTTGGTCTTGAATTGAATGATGCTGATCAGTGACCGTACAGTTTGAATACAAATCATTTGGTGTGCACTAGTATCACTTTGGCATTTGAAATTTTTGTAAAAATGAAATGGAAGATGTGAAAATATAAACTTTGATGAATTTAACTCGGAAAAAAAATCAATAATGTCATTTTGTAATTTGAAATATTTCTCCATTTTGTAATTATCAACTATTTGACGGTCTTTTTTCGAGTTGGGTATAATCTCGATTTTTTTTTTCGAATCGGAACGATGAAAAGTCGTTACAATTTTCATTTTCACTGCAGTAGACATACCTATCAAATTTCATGTGATTCACAATGTCAAACTGAATTAAAAACAACATTGTATACATTTGAGTTCAGACTTATCAAGTAACAAATTTTTTGGTTATGTTTTCAGTTTCCTAAGGCCAATATCAAAATCATCATGGATAAAGTGAAGGAGAAGTTACGACCTATATATAAAGACTTCGTAGCAGAAAATTTGCCCAACGAATCACCGGTTATTTCTTATGAGCGATTGAGGTATTTCTTTCCTTCCGTGTCGACTTATATTTATTTATTTTTCTATTTATTCATTTTTAGAGCAAAGTTATGTGAGTTGATGGGACAAGACTTCACTGAACATGAAATGGTGACGATATCTAGAGCCTTTTCTGCTGTATGTTACAAAGATAAATATAATAGAGATAAAATAAGGTAAACATGAATTTATTGAAGGAACAAGTAGATTTCAGATCAATTTGGGCCCAAAATATAGAATTTTCCTCAACCAGGAATCAGGTCGGTAGTTGAATAAAATCAAACCTCTAGCGTTAATGCTTGAGGAAGCTATTATATAGCGAAACACGTGTCGCTGTTTTTCGTAAAACCCTTTATAGTGGAAATCATGAAATAAACTGTAATAATTAGTTTTAATATGGATTTTCACCAAGTATCGGCCAGTTCTATTCAATTAAGATCTATTTTGTTTAGGTATGTCAGTACCCTGTAATTATTCTTAGCCAAATCCTGCTCTATTGGGGAAATTCTTCAGTATTTTTTCGATGACCCTTTTGAAGAAGTTTTACCGTGAGAGTTTCAATATGTTTGAATAGGAGTAGAAAGTGCAAGCTTTTATTCACTCACTGCATAAACACCAAAACACTTTCCAAAGAAAAATAGGTTCATCAGTAACTTATCTTGTTGAATTCATTTTGTCCATCAATAAAAGAGCTAATCACTTTCTGAATACTTTTTTCAAAGAAAGTTTCAGAGACGTAAAATTTTTCGAGGATTCGATAAGAAACAAAATAATATTTTTTTTCTTATTGATTTGGCCGTTACTTGATGAAGATCCATAGTAATTTCAAAAACTACATCTCACGATTTGATCTTCACAAACTTTATTTGATGAATCACTTGAAAAAGCTACTGTGCAAGCGAAACATGTGATATATTTCTCAAATAAAGTTTGTGGAGATCAAATTGTGAGGTGTAGTTTTTGAAAAAAAATAATAGTAATTATTTGAATATTTATATCAATATCGATATGGTACCTACTAATTCGAATCCTGTCATAATTATCGATATTATATACGACGTGTATTACACAGTATTTTACGAATAGTTTATTGGTATTTTGTATTTTTTCTCATCTTTTCTGAGCTTTTCAACTTACATCTTCACATCTTGTATGAAGTTCATTGGTTAACGGAAAAACAAATTTAAACAGATTTAAACTATCTATGTTTTATTTCATTCCACTAGACACTATAAATAACAGTTGATGTTATATTGATTCTAACATCTAATAAAATGATGAGGCATAACATATTCCGTTGAAAATTATTGTTAGAAACCTAAACTAGTTTTTGTATGGTAGCCACAAATAACAAGTTAATTGGTAAAAAATGGTGATTCTATCTATTTTGCTGTTTTTCACAAGTTGAATACAGTACACATAGCGTAGAAAAAAGTACCCAGGTAAAACATTTTTGAAATGAATTATGAATTATGCTTCATTCATCATTCCCTTGACCCTAGACCTTCATTCAATTATTCCAAAATAATTTCTGTATACCAATATGTGATGGTAGATGAGGTCGAGAGTCTTACTGGTTTCCTGAAACTAAATAGAGACCCTGATTTGGTCATTCTATATATTTTGCCGTATTTCATAAGTTGAATATAATACACACCGCAGAAAAAAGAGCCCAGGTGAGGTATTTTAGAAATGTATGTTGAATTATTCTTTATTCATCATTCCCCAGACCTTTATTCAATTTTCCCAAAACCATTTATGTAACTCAATATGTAATGGTAGATGAGGTCAAGAGTCTTGCTGGTTTCCTGAAGCAAGAAGTTTCCTGAATAGATAACCTGAGTAGAAGTTCAATTAAAATCAAATGTTCGAGATACTCAGAGACAGGAGAGCTAATGAGGGATGACCTGAAGATAGACAAAAAAAAATGATAAAGTGATTATGAAAGCTAACGCAAAACATATGCTGAACTGTTGAATACAGTGAAAGCTAACGTATATATTGAGAAAACGGACGCAACAATCAGGCAAGTGAAGTAGACTGCTGAAAGTGACCAGTTGATGGAAATATTTCAGAATGGATGGGTTTTTATAGGAGCGTTGAAGAGCAAAACAACCGATCTTGGTGTAATAAGCGTTATCGAAGGAAAACGTATCGACTGAGATATTCTATTGAAAAGTAGAACTGAAACCTCTGGCGTACAATGAAGTCAAATCAAGTACTTTTTCGAAACACCAGCACTCCAAACACTTCATTAGACGCGCATTCCACTAACCGAGTTAGCGTTTTCAGGAGATGAAGTGAACTTTGAAAGTAGCTGGGGATATCATTTATCACGGGGGGAAATTATAAGAACATTCCTCTGAGGCTCCACAGAAAAGGCTCCATGAACTACTGTATTGATGTGCAGGCAAGTAGGGGACGAATTGACTGGGGAAAATTGTATCAAAATAGAAATCAGCACGTGCAGGGTGAACATCGTTTGATGTTCAGAAAATGATTCTCACGGCATTTGAGTATCTATATTTATTTGTATCACGTATTAAAAAAACAAACGTCAATGTGAGATTTCCACTTGAGAGTTTACAAAACCGCGGTTTGTATACTTTCAAGTTGAAATTTCACATCGACGTGAGTTGAATACGTTATGATGGATTCTCATCAAATATTGGTTAGTTCTATCATATTTTTGCTTAACTGGATTTTTGTTTTTTCTCTCACTCGCATCGTCCAAAAGATATCTAAGACATCTTAATCATATTTCATTCGTTCGGACTTCCATTGTCTAATATGATCTAAATTGATTTAAAATCCCTGAAAAAATCTATAAAAAATTAAAACTTCCGACTCTCACCTAATGGTTAGCTTCAGCTAAAACTGATGAAGCGGAGAGATGGAAGAGGGGATAGGTGGAAGCACTCGAATGACCTATAAATAGTCAGATCTCTGAGGAATAAGTCCAGTTATCACCCGAAGACGATTGTGGATACTAACAATCGAAACGTCGTGAAGTAACTTGGTTTGGAAACTTTTAATTTTCAATTTTCCTTTCTTGTTATTGATTTTTTCAATTTCCATCTCGTGTTGATATTTCAATTTCTTTGATTTTTCATTGTAATTTCAGTTTTTTACTTGATATAATTGTGATTTTCCAGCTAACTTTTTTCATTCTTTATAGATTCTTTCAGAGATTCCGAATCAATTTAGATCATATTGGAGAATGTAAGTCCGAACTAATGAAATGCACCATGAAACATTATCACCCACATTCACACACATCTTAATTATGTTAGTCTTTGACTTGAAGATTCACCAAGTTTAACAGTATGCTTCATTCTCGATTCGTTTAGCTTTGTGTTCTCTATGGATAGTTCAGGCATGCATTCTTTCTATGGAAGGCTTTGCATTCGAATGTTTTGTGATCAGGTGCGAACAGTCAAAACATTCAACGACTTTCGCTCTGTGTCTCACACTACACGTGGTCTCCTATTTTGATAGTTTGCCTGCAAATTAATACATTAGTTCATATTGCCATTTCTGTTGAGCCCCAGAAAAATGTTTCTGATATTTTCCTCGTGATTTTTTCAACTGTTATAGTTCACTTCATCTCCAACACCAGATACCAATACGGTTGATGGATCATGCGTCGAGAGGTTCAAGTTTTACCTTTCATTAGAATTTCTTAGTCAAATTCTCTTTCGATATCGCTAATAATATCTAGATCAGGAGTTTTGTTTCCCAACTTACAAAAGCTGAACAAAACTCTTATAGAAATAAGAACCCCTGCATTCTGACCTATTTCGATCAACTGGTCACATTTAGCATGAAACTGAATGATATGAAGCTGCGCATAATTTGAGGATATCATTGATCCATCATTCCAAAGCACCTCATTTGAGGTGCTTCAAAAGATAATTTCAACTGTGTTCGTGTGTAGTCAACTGTTGTTTCCTTCATTTTTTTTGTAACTGTAGTTTCATGAAACAATGATTTTGCAATAAAAAGTGAGCTATTTAATTTGCCCCCTTTTTGTAAAAAGACCATTTCTATTTCCTGATAGATTCTCCTTGTCTCGCGTTTTTCGGTCATTCCCTCTCTTCAGGAATTCCAATATGTTGTTCTTGAAGTATTTCAACTTATGTTTGATATTTGTACACCGGTAACGATCTTTGTACCAAAAACTCAAAAAAATGATTTATTCATCTATTTCTGATTCTTTTTTCTGTAGTTTTTTCTCATGTTCAATTCTATGAAACTTTCTGAGGATATTCACCCATTCTTGACATGAAAAGATAAACCTGAGCTATATAAAACAATTCCTGAAAAGTGAAGAGTGTTGTTGAATTTGGCGGACAGGCTGAAAAAGCAAGCTCGATTCGAATTAAACATTATTTATTAATTTATGCTTTTCAGAGCATTAGCGCTAACGGAACTCAAACGATTTCTATGGGATGATTTGGATAGACTGAAAGAGTACTTTCTACAGAGAGACCCTCCTAGATCAGGAAAACTATCGAAGAAAGATTGCTATACTATCATGAAAGCCTGCAGATTACCTTTTGATAAAGAATTGATTGAGAGGATACTACAGGTGTAAGTACCATTAAACTTTATAATGTTCAATAAATACGTAGTTTTCTGTCACACACTGCGGAAAAAATATTCCAGTCCCACTTTTGAATGCTTATAGTGTATCAAATTATTCTGAAGACTATCGAGGAGAGATACATACTTATGAAAGAAAATCTCCAAACGTTTATCTCTTCCATCGTACCAATATAGTAAGCTCTGGTAAATGCCTTCCGAAAAACAACTGCCTACCCGGCCAATACTACGCTGGACATTTATGCAAGACAGGTCACATAGGATAGTCTTGCAGATGTTTCTCATTTATTCAGCAACATGACCATGCTGAAATCAATTAGATCACCTAAAGACCGGTTTCGAAGTATTACCTATAGTCAGTGCAGGAAAGATCCCACACGAACAGCAGTATGCCTGGGACTACAGAACCTACTGTTGAGGTACGTTGGGGTAGATGATTCAAAATTTGATATCGATATATTCATTTTCTCCGCATGTGGCTTTGTTCACGAAATGGAGCTGTTGACAAACTTCCTCTTAGCCAAGGTTCCATACATACAGTCAAGCCGCGTTGAAATTAATCGAGTCCCACACAGTGACTCCTCCATGATCTTTTTCGCTTGCTGGGGATACATATTGGTGGGATCATTTCTTAGAATAGTGACACTTCTTGGCATTTTTGAAAGATAATCTTGTTCTTCTAACGCTTCAGCGTATCTTTGATATTTCAGGAATAGCTGGGTGGTTGAGTTTTCTTAATGATTTCTGCTACTTTGTGTTTGTGAAGGGGTGAGTTATCTAATATGTTGGCGTTGTATGTTTTGTTCTTCCATAGTTGGCTTATGTTTGTTGAGGAGCACTGTTGTCTTTTTTTTTCAGTTTATCATTTTTTTTTCGATATTTTGCAAATTTCTTTTTTAATCTTATTCTCCAGGCAGTCAAATTCCACGATATGGAGTATGTGTCTTAACTCGCCTTGGACTAATTTCTGGTGAAGTTTCAAGTTATCTTGTGTTCTATAAATTGTTATCATTTTTTTTCGATTATAGTTCTTGAATTTTCGGTTGTAATGTGGCTGTCGTTACATTTTAGATTCAGAACTTGAAATTTATGTAGTTGGGTATATTTTTCTCTTTCACACATATTTTATTAAACATCAGGTTTCAAGATACTTTATTGTATTTTAGTTGTAGTCTATAATACATTTTGTCATCAGCGTTGTTCGAATGATAATAGTTCAGGTCAATGGTACACAGAGCTATCGCAATCTCTTTATCTGAAAAGTATTTCAAGGATAAACTGATGTTACTTAGTGGGAAAAAAGGCTCTGATGAGCCTACGATGTTTCAGTATTTTATAGCTAGGATGTTATAAACTTCCTTCATATAACTAAATATGAAATTTCATTACTATCAACATGCCATTGTGACCAATTATTCATTGGTAACATGTGATAATTTTCTTTTCTCCATTATAAAATGTAATTCTCCAAGATTTTTCAAATAATTAGCTGATGATGAACCTGAATAGGTTCTAAACATGTACTGATTGATGTTTTTGCTGTTCTGATATCTGAGCCCACTAAATAATTGTATGTATATACCTATATGTATTAAATTTTAGATTATAATGATTATCAACAAGAATTTTACTCTGTAACGAGTTCTACCCCAGACGTTTTTCTTGTCACTGTCATATAGAAATAATATAATTGTAACTCTGTACTTTTTGATATGAAAATGAATTATTATTATTAACTGATCTATTTACACCCCTCAAAGTAATGAAAAAATCAAATCATAGAGCAATACATAGTTCAAATGAGAACAAAAAGAAGAAACACGAAGATCACACCATGGGTAACCAATGGTTTGGTGAAATCAGTGAGCACAAAGAATGTGTTACTAAAACGAGTACGACTGAATCCTATGTATAATCAGTTGAAAAACGATCGTAAAATCAGAATAAACTTACAAATCTGATGAGGAGAGGCAAATTTGATTACTACCTGAAAAAAAATTGAATAAACTCATCAGACTCTATATGTTTATGGAAAGTAATCAAAAAAGTCAGCAAGACAAAAAAGATTCGGCGAATCACTCGAATAAAAAAAGAAAAGGTAATACTGTAATAGAAAAACAAGCAATCGTTAATGAATTCAATTATAAATTTTCAACCTTAGGCAAAAACATGCCAGACAAGATAAATAATAACTCGAACTTCTTATATGTTCCAAATTATTTTGTTCTCCTTCCCACTAACGGAAATGACATCAAAGTGGTTATCAAACAGCTGAAAACAAAGAAGTCCACTGGTACCATCGCACCTATCTGTCCAGAAACCCTGAAATCCATCTCCTCTTGTATCGAGGAGTCTTCAGCATTTATTTTTTATAAATGAATGAAAAATAGTTTCTGGCCAACAGCTCTCAAAAAAAACATCATAACCCCATTATTTCAAAATTAGACAGACATTATGAACTATCGACCATATCAATCACTACATGAAAAGATCAAAAAAATGCTAACATCGTATGTCTCGTAATATAATATATCTGACCATCAATTTGACTTTCGCAAAAAATTATCTACCCAAGACGCAATTTCAGCTTTTACTTCAGAAATATCATCTGCCCTTAAAGAGTATTCATCGACTTGTCGAAGGCATTTGACACAGTTGACTGCAACCTGTTACTGAAAAAACTAGAAGATATTGATATAACAGGTGATACTCTGATCATGTTCAAGAGCTATCTCGCCAATTGATTTCATTGTGTAAAAATTGATGACATTTTGAGTGATGCACAGGAAACTGTTATGAGAGTCCCCCAAGGTACAATTGTGGAGACAACAATATATGTTAAATATATATGTTAACGGACTATATTCCATCAGGATCCGACGTAAAATATTGGGTTTTGCAGATGAAAGCTGTAGTATGATGGGTGGGTGTAACAAACACAGAATTATGCTGTGAGTGAAACTGTATTCATAAACATAAACAACTAATTGAAGAATGATCTAATCTTGTTTGGACCAACGTGTCAGATCGACTGATTGTGTTCGCGGACGAATGTCACTCGGCTGTTGGCCACAGTGTTGCCAGACTTAATCAGTGATACAACACGAATGATAAGCTTATTCCCTAAAAAGAACAGGGAGCCTTCTGTTTCTTGAAGGATTTTTTCGGGGCACTTGACTTGGGGGCTCTTCTACGTCGACTGCTTATGTCGACTAACATCCTCAGGTTGAATTTCACAAGGTATGTTGGGGCGATATTTTTGTTTGAGCCGGTCGCTTGGTGATGGTTCGTTTGGGGTACCTTTGTTTGGTTCAGCATCAGAGTGACTTTCTAATTCGTCACCAGCACATTGTATATCCGATGGGTTTACATCTACATGTGGTGTTGTATCCGAGATTCATCTCCGCATTCGGTCACAATGTTTGCAGCGTAGAATACCATCAACATTTACGAGATATGACAGTGGCCTAGACTGCCTAATAACTTTTCCTGGCTCGGAATGGCCTAATGGCCATACATCGTCTTCTTCCGTAAAATTATGAAGTGAATAGTCATGGTTTCGTTTTAGAATGATTTGTTCTTATTCCATATTTTTAGTAACATCCGGTTTAAGGAGGTCAAATTATGATCTTAAATGCCGACCGAACATTAGTTGACTTGGTGTTCTGTTTGTCGATCTTCTTACGGTATTTCTGTAGGAAAATAGAAAACTTGCAAGTCTTTGTGACTGATTTAGTTTTTGATTACTGGCTCGCATTCGTTCTTTGAAGGTGCGAACAGTGCGCTCAGCCAGCCCATTCGATTTCGGATGATAAGGGGTCACTTTAATATGTATTATTCCATTGTTCTTGCAGAAAGGTTTAAATTCACTTGAGGTGAGTTGTGGCCCATTATTCATCACCAAGAACTTGGGTAAACCCAGTCTAGCAAATATAGAACGGAGAATGTCTATAGTAGAGTTAGATGTAATGTTGTTCATCGGTATAACTTCTAACCAATGTGTATAGTCCAGATGAAGACGAGACCAAGTGTCTGGAGATACACCCCATGGGTGTAGTGGTGCATTTCTGTAATTTTTTTCGGGACTGTTGACATGAAATACAGGTTTCTACTTCATGAACGTTGATATTTGGCCAATAAATGTGCAGTTTTGCCAGTGACTGCATGGCAGTAATGCCTGGATATGACCGTGGTGTAACATAGCTAATACCTCTGACTGCAAAATAGAAGGTATGCAGATGCGTCCTTTCCATAAAAGCATGTTCTCTTCAAATGACAGTTCATCTCGTTTTTTATAGTATGGGATAACGTCGGTAGAGAGGTTTTTCTTGTCGGGCCAATATGATTGTACATATTTTATAACGTTTGTTTGAAGGTGATTGACATAACCTGTGAAATAGTCTTGTCTTTTTCAGTTTGGGTTTTTAATTCTTGTTTGCACATAGGAAGAAGCTTCCGTACTCGCAGATGCAATAAGCGCATTTAATTTGGTACCGCTGAATTTTACGCTGTTTCTTTCAAGGGCAGCCTGGATTGTGAATCTGCAGGACAATTTTCGTTTCCTGGATGATACGAAACGTTGAAATTATAACTATTTAGCGTCATGGCCCGTCTTAAGAGCCGGTTGCTTGCTATTTTTGGGGTCTGACGATCCTCTCCAAAAATACGCTCCAATGGCTTATGATCCGTAATGAGGGTGAATCTTCGACCAAATAAGTATTGATGGAACTTGGTAACTGCATATACTAGTTCCAGGGCCTCTTGTCAATAGTAGAGTAACGTTTTTCGACATCACTGACGGATCTTGATGCAAGGCAATTGGTTTCAGAGTTCCATCTCGAAATTTATGTGATAGCACAGCGCCTGTACCTGAATTGTTTGAATCACTGTTGACAACCAGGGGTTTTTCAGGGTCATAATGCACTAGAGCCATAACCATTCTCACTTTACACTCTTTTTAAGAAGACGATGTAAAGGTACGCACTTCA